GGCTGTGGGCGGGGCTGTGGGCGGGGCAGCGGGCGGGGGAGAGAAGCGACCCCTAGAGCGCAGGACTCTTAGGCAGTTCCACCTTGAGCCACCAGACGTTTGGGAGCGGCCAGGCTGTGCCCGATCACTCGAGAGCCCCTGCAACGAGGAGGAGGAAAGATTCTACCACCGCTAAAAAGCGGCGCAGGTCAAAGGCAGGATTCCTTTTTAAATAATGGAATCTTTTTCAAAGTTTTTTTTTTTTTGCAGTTTCTGGAACATCGTGCTTCATCATATATAAAACCCAGACTGGGTTAAGAGTGAACCAGGCAATAACCCACAGATGGAAAAGATGCAATAGTGGTGGAAGCTGTCCTTTCAGGGTTGTATTGGCGAGCTCATTTTAATTTCACCCCCAAATCTTCAGAAAGTTTTAAAAGGTTTTCTCTATCGTAGAGCAAGAGTAGTATCTCCCAGCTCTGTTCTCTGATATCAGAGTCCATTTTACTCATTTGCTCTTTTTGTCTTCCCCTTAGCATAAATACAATCTCCTGGAGCGCAGGGATTTCACTAAATATCTTATCAGTACTTTGAAAAGTAGAAATTATACACTACTCAATTTCTGAGTCTTAAATCAGGAAAGTAGCAGGACTATGGAAACAGACACATTTAAGAGAGACTTAGGAACTGTGCAAACAGAATCCAGTGATTAATGAACTAGATTATATAGAGAGGAAGTGTCAAGGATGGTGGCCTCTAGAGATTGCTGCCTTAAATGATAGCTGTGGAGATGAAAAAAGAGGGAAGTACACACAATTGTGGACATCATTTTGGATACCCTGAAATTTAGAAATTTAGTTTATAGGACTCTGTATGGAGGTATTCAGCAGGCAACTACATTTATAGATAGGATCAGGGACGCCCTAGATTAAAGTTCTAGAATTGAGGCTCCAGACTATTGGAAGCCTTGACAGAAGATAGAATCACTTAAGTGAAACAAAGAACAGGTCCCATGCCAGAAGCTAACCTTCTTAGACTAGAAACAGGGCTGGTGCCATCAAACTTATTTCTCAGTAGAAACAAAACATCAGAAACTAAATCTGCAAGGAATAAAAAGAGCAGGACAAGAGGAACACCAAAAGAACTAAAAAAGGAGCAGTCAGAAAGGTAATGAGGAAAATGGCATATAGTATCCTGAAAGCCAAGGGGAAAAAGTGTTTCAGAAAGAAGGGTTGTTGAGAGGTTAAAGGTACCAGTGAAATGTGTCCACTAGATCTAACTGTGACTGTAACAGATGTAGGAGTAAAAGCCAATTGGCAGAGCATTCTCAAGTCAATGTGTGGTAGGAAAAAACGGGGGAAATTTGGCTTTGGCAGAGGGAAGACAGGACATCTTCCACAAGAGAACTTAGGATGGAGGGATCCATCGAGCATCCTTGATAAGAAGTGATGTCATTTTCATCCTGCTGGGCACAGTAAGAAGGCCCCATGACAGGACAGAATGAAGCTACTGGCCCTACATGAGCCAATCTGAAGATCCTGTCCTATTAGCACAGATTTTATTTGTGGTATAAGGTAAGAATCTTGAGGAAGCAACACTTAGAAACTTGAGACCAAAGTAACAACCACATACTCTTACAGTGAATTCAGCTTCAGCTTGGAAACAGTACTCACTACTGATTTTTTAAAAAACGAAATGTAAGAAGACACATTCCTGATGGCTTGAACACTGGCGGTACATGCATGACTGTCCCACTGGGTGACTTGAACCACACAGATGGTTAGCTATTTAACACCAGACGATGGAATTCAAATCTGAGCTCCCTGGCAGCAAGAATACGAATTATGGCCCCATGATGAACATGTTAAGAGAAAGACAAGGACAACATAAATCAGCCATAAGAAATCAAAGAAACTACTATTTACCTACCTCCAACCAGGACTGAGAGAAAAAAGGCAGGAAGCTATAAAAAAAAAATCTGCAAGTTTGAAATGGTTGTGGGATGAATGAAAAAGGCTGAGACTAGAAACAGGGCTGGTGCCATCAAACTTATTTCTCAGTAGAAACAAAACATCAGAAAATAAATCTGCAAGGAATAAAAAGAGCAGGACAAACAATTTAAGGCTGCAGGCTCTACAACAGAATAACTTCAGTGTATTCTGAACTAAGTATGAGTTCAGTCTGGCAATTTGTATGTCTTTAACTCCAGATGGGAAATAGTTTCTTAACATGTAACAAGTCTCCCATTGTTTGAATCATACACTTAGCAAATTTACAGAACCACATAAAAATATGCAACATACTTCAGAATCAAGAACATTTTCATTACGTACTTTTTATTTTAGATGAACATTATTGTAAAAAAAAAAGTTCACCTGGAATAAAATCCATTTTTTAAAAAACCACAGCATCAGTATCAGTACATAGTTAATGAATTGGCTTAAACAAGATCAACCACATGACAGGTCCATTTTATCTGCAGGAGCTTTTCACATTAAGCCACTGGAGAAAAAAAATAAAATATGTCTAAACATACATAGAAGGATAATTCTTGGGAAAAACTATATAGTTCCCATTGAGGCATGATTTTAGTCAAATAGTTTATGGTGTCTTGTATTAAAGGAACTGCAGTGTCAGCTGCAAACAAAATAAAACCTATCTGTAAGGCCATAGGAATGAACTATCATAATTCATATTTTTTAAAGGTTAAAAAAAAGTTCTACTAGATATTGGCAACAAGAAATGCAATTGCATATGGCACACATTTCAAATGAAGTAAAATCTGGAAATATCCCTAAAATAACTGCTCATTTCCATTTCTGTACATTTAGCTCATTAAGATTTTTTCATAGTGAACATGACACCCATTATTTTTATCAGTCTAAAGAAAGGCTAATCCTACTGTAAAATTTTGCTAGGATTTGAAATTTTATTAGCATATCCTATCTTTCTAGGTCCTTTTACATTAAAGGATTTCATTTTTAGACATTGCTCTGTGCTCTCAATGTAACAAAGAAAAAGGAATGATAAATCTAAAAGATTGCTTAAAATTTGAGATAACGTAATAAAATAATGAAATACAGTTTAAAATTTTTAAGCTTAGAAGCTCATTTTCAAAGATTAAGAACTACTTACAAAGGAGTCTAAATCATAAACTTAAAAAACAGGTCTGCTTACATGTATCATTTACTGATCACAGGAAAAACTTTATAAGCCATAATACAGATTTTCAGTAAAATGGTGTTATAATCTCTTAGAAACTTCTGCAAAAATGTATCTATATTGCACAGCTAAATTAATTACCGGGGCAGGGAGATAATACTTTTTTTTACACTATTGGAATAACATATATGTTCTACTCTAAATGAAGATATCACCTACCTTTTTCCAAGGATGCCTTCAATTCAAAACAAAACAAAACATATAATCTAAATTGTGTTGATGTTTAAAGGCTGGCTCACGGTTTTTATACCAGGTATTAGAATACTAGTTAGCTAAATGAGGTATAATTTTAAAATAGTCCTTCAAAGTAATGAGTATAGTCTTCTGAAAATTTATAACAAAGACTGCACAAAATGTTCATGTAAATAGTAAGAAACCCTGCAGCATCTGCTAACTGATGCACAGGTGGATTAGTCATAATCTGTCTGCAGTAAAATGTAGCTAAAATAAGTTCCCAGTGAAACATTTTACAATCAACTGATTTGCATGCTACTTAGTTACAGCACATTTTCATTGTCCGGTATCCTCAGACTCTATTTGAAAAGGTCTAGTCCAATCATCAGAACTTAATATACTGATAATAAAGTGCAGCCACTGAGCCACTAATACTGCTGCAAAAATCTTTATGTACCTTTATCCATAAGACCACAAAAATGTTCACAAAAAAACTAGATTTCTTCAGTTTCAGCAGGGAACAGACAGTTATCTGTCACTAAATCCATCTACAAATAGAAAAAATAATGCATTATATGTACATTAAGCAAAAGAAATATTTATTGGGTCATTTTACCATGCAGAAAGTAAATTTCCTATGGTCTTAGCTCAAATTATATACAATTTAGCAAAGCTAAATGTAAGAAAATAGCAAGGACAATTTATTTCTATATAACAGAGTGTATACTCCCAGTGTGCTGCTACTTCAAGGAGCACTTATAGACTCATCTAATTTTTACAGGCTCTTTCAAAGAGAAGTTCATGGAGACTAGTTATACCTACAGAACACAAAAGGAGAGTGAAGAAACATAACAAAAGCAAAGCGTTCTGCTAAAAAAAAATGTAGACTAACCACAGAACGTGTCAGTTTTGGTTTGCAGACAACCCCTGAGATAGAAACCAAAGTGTTAAGACACCAAATAGTCAGAGGTAAATACTAAGAGAATTACATTCATACATGGTGTCATAGCACTTGCCCTTTAGAAAGTACTTTATTACCAGCCAGAAAACTTAACTGCTTAGATTTTTTTCCCCAGGTAATTAAACAAGATGTTGCCAAGAAATTACTTTTTCTTTTCATATGTGCACCTACTCTGAAGATGGCAGACTTACACTCAACTTTCAACCACGGAACTACTAATTACACTGGGACAGCAATGAGTAACTTTCAGCTTATTTGTAACTAACAAAACAAACAAAATCAAGGAGGCTAAAACTTGTCAACAGTAAGTTTAGTATAGACATCAAAAATAGCTCTGGCATATATGTAGCCACCAAATTGTTTCTAAGTTTTAAAACAAGTAGTAAAGGCTGACTGATCCAAGCGTTTAAACAACAGATCCTAATGTGAAGCAGAAATCGTTGTGGTAACAAGCATTCCACCATTTCCACTTCTATCTTCTGTTCTGAACTAACTAGCATGGTAGCAGTCTTGGCAGGCATGACAGAAAGATTCATTAAAACAGAATTCACATTCTTAGTCACCTCTATCCTATTCCCTTCTGTGTTATGACACTGAAAGCTACAATAACAACAATGACATTATAATCTGAATTTGGCACATAAGTTGATGCTAACTGATTTTTTTTTTTTTTAAATGTGATAGTTTCATCTACAATAGGAATACCAGTATCAGTGTTTGAGGAGAAAGGCTTCAGCCCAAATGCCTGGACAAAGTTCTGTCACAATGCACCTAAACGGATGAAACTGGGCACTAAATATTCAATAAGTACTGTTTTAAAACTAAAATGCTGATCATATTTTCTCTAATTAAAAAGTCAAGACTTTTCCTAAAGGATATTCTAAGTCCACATATTTTTTTAAAAAATAGAACCAAAAATCATTATTTTCACCATCATTAGGACTATCTCTTGTCTCTTAAATTTGTATCAACAAGTTAATCCCTCTCCCTACAGATATGCTTTCTGCTAAAATCTAAATCTAACTTTTGTTAACTCTTACAGACAGGGATGTTGGTACAAAATGGCTATTACAACAAAACCAGCAAGCTAAAGGGTGAACCTAAGAAAAAAAATATATTCTGATGTGATGCTAAAAATAAAACTCTAAATGAGACAATTCTACCTATGCAAAATTTCAGTTGAAGAAGTTCATAAATAGAAACAGATAGCACTGTTTCAATGTGTTATTAGTTTTATATAACTAAGTAAAATATGCCAAACATGAGAAAGCATAGCAAATACAAACCCCTGGAAAAGTGAGATAATAGTATTTCCAAATGTCGTTTCTATTGATTAGGCAGAGGTGATATACATTTAAAAAGCAATTCATTCAGCTACCCAGATGACACAAAAAAATCAGGAATGAAATAATTAAATAAGAAATAATCTAAAGAAATAATCTAAAGAATCTAAAGAAATAAAGATATTGTGGCCTGTGATGAATAAACGGGCCTTCCCATTAATTTTTAAAATTGTCCTTTAATATATCAACCTCTGCTTAACGTTTTGTCTTTTAAACATCCCAAGTGTTCATATTTGTTTAGAGGTTCACGACACAAAAGTGCCAGATAGGAGTCTAACTTCACGCTGTCAGAGGAAAAAGCTAACGATGATGTGCAAAAGTGGAAAAGAAAAATAGCAGCTTCTGCAGCAGGCAGTAAAGAAAGGAAAAATCGGTTAGGTCTTGCGTGTGTCTCCATGTCATCGCCTCCGTGTTTGTAAAAAGGAACCTGTTCTTTTTTGAGGCCACTAGGCTGAAATTCGCTTGGTGTTCTATGTCAAGAAGTCTAAGTTCATTCGTGCTCTCCGCAGCAGCTGGGCGGGGTGACTCGGGTTGGGGGACCTGTGCTTTCAGGGAAGCAGGAAAGGACCCTCTGGGTGTGCTGCAGTCTCTCACAAGGAAAGAGTTCATCAAAGCAGCGAACAGCGGAAGAAGCTGGTCTTCTTGGATCGGTTTTCTGTTATTTTCACTGGCCCACCTGCTCCTGAAGAATTGCTGTCATTCTAAAAGATAAAGTTACGGAGGAAATGAAAGTTTCATGCTTTGACCAATTACCTAAAATATAAAAATAAGCCATACCATGTGAAATGTGTACTCGCTAGAGTATTATATTAAAAGGGGAACTAATCAAGCTCCAGTATTATCTTTCTCTTTGGAAATAGCAGATTAAAAGGACAAAAATGTTCTTAGGATAGCACTTTTATTTTAATAATATATTAGGTAGGAAGCTCGTATTTCCAGTTCAAAGAAATTATAACCAATGGAGTATAAAGTTTCAAGGGTATTGATGGAAATAATGCTAACACACTGCTAGAAACAATCCTATTTGAGACAAGAGTTGATAATATGATATATACAATTTTAGAAAGGACTCAGATTAAAAAAAAGTTCCAAAGTTCTCCTTAAAAATTCATCTAGATAGTTTTCCAATGTAAGAAAACTTGAGCAACTTTAAGATTATAACTACATATATAAATATCCGCTACTTGACATAAACTATACAAGTTTATGACAAAAGTAATTTGTGCTGTTATCATTTTCATTATTCTGATCAAAATTCAATTAAAGACCACTTGAAGGTCAGATGAAAAAGCTAAACTGCTACAGTTCTCAAATGGAATCCTAAAGAAACAGAAATAAGAATCAAAGTTCAACCCAATCAGTATCTGAGTCCCAAGAGTTTAGTATAAATATCAGAGTCATGCTTATCCTTTGTATCAAATGTCAAATAATATAAAAATTGTAAGAGATACAAACCATTTTTCTGTTGAGTTTTGTCATTATATCTCGTGCAAGTGTAAAAAATGCCTAAAGGTATAACAAAAAATTCATTACTGAATATTTATAATATTTCAAAATAGAAATTTTTATTATTTCAACATAAACATATTATCTTAGTTTTTAACTGCGAAAAGAACATAAATGAAATCAAAGTATGTTCATGAACAATGTAGCTTCTTTTCAATTATATAAAAAAATTTTTCCCAATATTATCAAGCTGCCCTTTCTCTGCATGCAAGACCTGGCACAAGTTCCTAATCTGATTCATATTATTACATTTTATAACAATATCCCAGCATAGGTTGGTTATAATGCTTGCTATCATTTTGAAAGTATCAATCTTCCTAATTTTTTCTTTTTTTTTGTTACCAGGGATCAAACTTGAGACCTTGTGCTTGTAAGGCAGGCAGCGAAATCACTGAGCTAAATCCCTAGCTTTTTTACTCTTATTTTATTAGTACATGTTTGCAGTACATAATGATTAAATTTTTGTGCTGAGTTACTACATGTCCATAACACATCTTAATTCTTTTTTTCATCCTCTAACTCTCTCAGCCCTCGCTATTCCAACTCTGGGGTCACCTTCACAATTCCTTCTTCAGTAAAATGAGAGCAGGGTAGAGGCTCTAAATTATTCTCACTCCACAGAGGAAGGCCCAGTGCCTGCTCTAGGAGATGTTAATAGCTACATAATGAATTAATAAGTGCAACTCTAAAATCTATCTTTACAAAAATCTCTGCCTTTTACATCTGACGTCTCCTGAGGTCATGTGTGAGCAGTATGATCTGTCTTCACACTCCCAACTCTCCTGGACACAGCTAAATTCCTTCCCTAGCAGGTTTCCATTTAGTTCAAATGTAAGCAGGGTAAATTTGACAAATGTGAGTGATGCTTTATCTATAGTCTTTTTTGATTCAAACCAAATTTTAAAAACCTATCATCACTTTACTTTTTTCTGCAAAGCCAAGAACTATTAAAAATTTTTTCCACTGGCTCCATGTTATATCCACCTTTACATAAGCCTTGTTGTTCCCAAGCACTCCTGATCCCCAAAAACTGTACAGGCAAAGGGTCATTTTCAACCCAATTACATAAAAACAATATAACTACTAGTATTACTCACTGTCAGTGTCTCACCATCACACTGGTCACCTGTCCATTTCTAAGTAAGCCTATCTGAACTTTTACGAGGCTACCCACACCAAAGCTCTGGGAAAACTGCTAACTTCTCTCCACACCTCTATGGAATAAGCAGCTCGGGCAACTTGCAAGCTCAGTGCTCCCTCTAAGCAGTAGCTGCTGTTAGGATTCAGGTACTTTCAAAGACCAAGCCTGCTGCACAAAGCCTTGGTAATGAATTCTCCCTGTGGAGTGATACTACATGGACCTTCTCTGTGAGTGCACTTTTCTCCAGCTCTGCTATTCAAGCTCTTTTACAGCGGAGGGAAATCTTCTATTGCAAGCAGAAGGAAGTATTTTTCCGCTTAACTTATGTAAATAAGTCAGTAGAGATTTTGTTTCCCAGCACCAAACCTGAAAAGATGAGTGCTGATTATTTAAAACAAAGAAAAAGTTCTGATTAGTGTCCACTGTCTAGTAAAGTAATTTTAGTCTCCAGTTTTAGATATTATGTTATGATAGTAGCCTAAAAAAAAAAAAAAAAAAAAAAAAACAATTTTTAGAAATTTAGAAGACCATCAGCATTAGTGAGCAAATTACATGTACTATATATATTAAATGTATTATTTAATGATCACTTAAAAGTGGTTTTTAAACAAAGAAATTATCCTCAACAATTCTGCCCTTCGTGAAAAAAACCTTAAGACTTTAAATATGATCTGGTTTTCTTTAACATCTAGCTTAATGAAAATTTATGAAAGTTATTCTTTGATAAACGTTTCTTATTTCTACTAAATGCCACAGTGTTACAGTGTATCATGCTTAATGTACTTCAAATGTATACATAAAGGGAATCTGTTCAATAAGCTAACAGTTTGATTCTCTGTTGAGAGAGTACAGACATAGAAGCAATTTAACTTGTTTGTTACTGGCTACTTAGGGTGACATGAATGATGACAAATGAGCAGAGGACACTACTTTCTAGTCTAGGATTTCTAGCTTCCCAAACAAAGGACTATAATGAACTTAAACTGAACTTCTAGCCTCTGTTCAGTGACTCTTAATTGAGCAATCTAATACTGACCATGTGGCGGCTGGATGCTCGAAGTCCAGCAACCAGAGTCCACATACAAGTCAGAAGACACAGAAGTGCACAGAAGGGAAGCAGGTCAACAAAAAGCTTTACCAGGGTTAGGGATTGAGTTCAGTGGTAGATCACTTATCTATCAAGAGTAAGGCCCTGTCCTCAGCATCAATCAATCAATCAATCAATCAGTAATCAATAACCAACTAACCAACAACAACAAAAAAAGGCTTTCTCTATGTCAGAAAATATCAAGGCTTTGAGAACCACTGGTCTCACTATCTAACAGGTCACCAAACATTTCCTTACCTCTTCTACATTCGTACTGGATTTTGCACTTGTCTCCAAGAATTTAATCCCATAGTCAATTGCTAACTGAAAGGCAAACACAGACAGTAAATTCAGTGAAAGTGGGTTAACATATAAAGCTTTTTGTTTTTTCAAAGTCCTCAAAGTAGGCTATCTATATTACAACTACTATAATTCTCAAATTTCTTTGCATTTTTCTATTACAATTGGAGTTTAACAATTTAGCCAGAGGGCCGGGGATTTAGCTAGGTGGTGCTGCCACCTGCCTCACAAGAGAAAGGTCTTGAGTTCAATCCCAGGTACCCCCCACCAAAAAAAATTGCAGTACTCACTGCTTTGAGTTCTATTAACTATTAATTTCATATTCTAAACTCTTCCATATTATCTATCTAATCTAAAAGGAATCCCTGGTTCCTTTATAATATTAAAATTAAGTGAATGTCTTTAAGGAAAAAAGTTTGCAGTTAGGTAATGAAAAATGCATTTTGTAAATATTACTGAGAGAAAGACCAAAGAAAATTCTAAAACTTAAAAATTAAAAGCTCTGCCACCTGCTTCACAAGCATAAGATCCCAAGTTTGATTCATGGTACCAAAAAACAAAAAGTGAAACCTCTGAGTCTACTTAGAAAATGCCATAGGAATAAATATGTATAAAAATGTGAATTTTTTGTTTGTAGGACACAAAACAGAGAAAAGCTATAAATGACACATCTATAGCCTGATCAGTTATAAGTTTATCCATAATGACCTAAATCTAATGAATAGTAAAATATCCTTAGGAAAAAAATTCAAACGAGAAATGATTACTGTCAAACTTCACCTATCCCGTTATTTGTTTTGTTTTTTGTTTTCAAAGAGAAGGAATTATTTTAAATCCAAAACTGGGCTTTTCACATAGATCTGGAAGAAAGAGCTTGACCTCTAACCTGCAGAAATCTTAAAGAACTAATTTGTATCTCCCAGAAAACATTAGCAAATTCTTTAGGAGTGAGTCATGACCACACAGTATACAGAGTTGGATTCAGAATACTAATGCACACTATTCAAGTATGAATTACATCTCTTTGCTACTGGTATTCAATTGTAAAGGATTAGAATATAGATATTTTAAAATGTAAATCAACAAATAATACTAAGAAAATAAATGTTTAACGCCAGTCCATTGGAACCTTTATCCATTCAGTTTAAATTTACCTTCTCCCCTCTTTCTTTTGACACTTGTCTTTTGTCATTCATATCACATTTGTTACCCAGGATCATTCTTTCAACATCTGAAGAAGCATGCTGCAAGGAGAAAATACTATGCTATAAAAACAGTCGCAGAAAGACCATGGTTATTCAGCAGGAAAATCATAACACACCAAGGTGCTTCACATAAAACAAATAATCTTTTGTTCAACACAAGGTCTGATTCAGAGAAAAGTTTAAAGATGGGAGGAGGGAAAATGCAACAGCTTAGACGTTTCACAGAGCCTATACACACTTTTATCCCAAGGGCTCACAGTCATTCTTTTGTTTTGTTTTTTATCACCAAATAACAGAAATAAAGCTTATAGTTATCTAATAGCAAAACTTCCAAATATTTGGGTCAAACACAGAGAAAAACTTAGTATTGAGTGACCCAGTGGAAAGAGTATTCTGGATTCTAAACAGTTTAAATATTAAATTTATGTGGGCCAATTTAAATATATAAAAATTTATTTCAGAGTCAAATTTCTTTCTGAGTGATCAGATAGTTACAAAACTTTAATACCATTTTTCTGGAATTAAGCCAGACTTCAAATATTTAAAATGAAAAAAATGTTGGAAAAAAAGCTGCCAAAGATATATTTTTGCAGAATAGATAGAGCCTGGGAGTCCAGTGTTTTAATTCTGGATCTCCTTTTTATGTTTTGTTTTTTTTGGCACCAGGGATCAATTTCAGGACCTTGTACTTGCAAGGCAGGTGGTGGAACCACTGCGCTAAATCCCCAGCCCTGGATCTCCTTTTTAAAGGGTATACAAACATTGACATATCACTTCTTTCTGATCTGAGTTTCCCCATGTGTATAAAAGGGACTTGGACTAAGTTATTGTCAAGTTCAAGCCTGAGTTTAAAATTCTGTGAAACAGCTCCTCTGGGCTGGAGATTTAGTTTCAGTGGCATCACACCTGCTTTGCAAATGCAAGGTCCTGAGTTCAATCCCTGGTACTGCAAAAACAAAGAAACAAACAAAAAAACAAATTGAAACAGCTCCTCTGTCCACACCACATGGTGGTCTGGGTGGCAGCAACAAAGACCAGTCCCTTTATGGAAGGAGCAGGGGCCCAGCCTGGCCCTGCCACACTTCTCAGAGATGGGGGCCTCTGGCAGAGCCTTCTACAAGCGCACAGCAGGGTCTCCTCCAGCACCACTGCTTTCTTCCATCCATACCTCTTCTATGTTTCTTATCCAATTCTTAATATTGTCAAAGGATTTTTCATTTGTGATGTCATAGACCAGCATAATCCCCTATAAGAAGAAACAACAAAAAAAAGAAGAAACAAAAGTCTTATATAGCCCTTTATACATTTATAATTATAGTAAATAATGTCATGTATCCCTTCCAGAAACCTTTTGTTAGTCCTTTTTGGACCCTTAAAAAGGGATTCATAATAAATTTGGAAAGCAGAGAAAAACAAAAATAAATTATTCCATTGTCTCACTACATACATACATACATCAATCAATCAATCAATCTGTTAAGATCTTCACTGTTAACCTTCAATGAATTAGATACTGTGGAAAAGCTGATACATCCTTTCTACCTGACCTCACAGGGTAACAATCAGCACCAACTATATAGCTGAAGGCAAATTAAAATTAAAACAGAGATAAAGAGTGAGAGGTGCCAGGCGTGGTGGCGCACATCTGTAATCCCAGCACTCGGGAGGCTGAGGCAGGAGGATTGCTGTGAGTTCGAGACCAGCCTGGGCTACATAGTAAGTTCCAGGTCAGTCTCAAATACATAGTGAGACCCTGTTTCAAAAAACCAAAAAAAAAAAGAAAAAAAGAGTGAGAGGAGAGGTAATCACTTCTATTGTCCATTTGTTCATTCTAAGTAGAAATTGTGCCTTTTACTGCTCTACTAAGACTGAGACCATTCTGGGGCAGGGATTTAGCTCAGAGGTTCTGTCGCCTGCCCCGCCTGCCTCGCAAGCCCAAGGACCAGAGTTCGATCCCTGGTACCAAAAAAA